CAGGAGGCGAAAGCGCCATGACAATAGACCACTTTCATAAATGGCTGCCGTATTAATATTCTTTTGTTTAAATTGAAATTAGCCTTTCTGGCTCGTTCTCCAGTACAAAATTCAAAAGAATACATTATCTCAAGCGAGGCCAGAAAGGCTAATTGAAATTTAAACAAAAGAATATTAATCCGGCAGCCATGTTTGAAAGTGGTAAATATCTTGGCCGTAAAAGCCATTGTTGAAAAGCCCACTTTTTTAAAATTTGGTTTTCTGCTAAGTATTTTCGTCAACGGCTGTTGTATTTAGTTAATACGGGCCTTCGTGCCGCGATAATACGACTGAGCCCCCTGATACACGCGGGAGAGCACTGGTGCAAACGATCTATAGTCGGCGATCCCCGGATGGTGTTTTTGCTTAATATAACGAGTTTCAGCTTAAAAATGTCGAAACAAACGAAACTTCTCAGCTATTTTCAGCGAAAGGAGAATCAAGAGAGGTAAGGAGTGTTCTTTATCTGATTTAGGTTTAAGTCTTTCTTCTCTGACGATCGGCATCTAAGTTGCCGCATTTAATTACAATGCATTGCCTGCCGTATGTTTTTTCAGGCCAGAGCAACCGGAACACGTTGTCAATGAAAGTGTTGGAGTGGAGCTAGCTTGCAAGCGAGTTAAACCCAACAATGGTAAAGTTTCATTCAAAATTAATTCAAAATGAATATGTATATATGTAAGACTGGCTTTGTTTTTCTGTCTGATGCTTTTGTTTTTGTTCTTGCAGACGATGAATACAGACGTACAGGACGGCGATACAACATTGGAGATAGTAGAGAAGACACCAGCACCAGCAGCGGCCTCTGGTAAGTTTAGTTCGTCAGTTTTTTTTTGTTTTTTCTTTTGATATTTTGATAAAACAAGAGGTAATACCGTAGTCACTCGATATTTTTTTATCGATATAGGTTTGCTGTATCTTCCAGATGAAACTGTTTTAAAAATTCTTCAATACCTACCGCTATCATCAGTCATTCAAAGCTTGTCAGGTACATGCAAGCGAACATTCCAGCTATCCCATACCGCTATGTTAAGGAAACGTTTTACATTACAGGATACAGGGCGTCCTCCTTTCTACATAAGGCATAGTTTTAAAGGCATATTTGAGGGGCAGTGTAAACATTTCCAGCATTTATATTTCGACGGCGAGTTCGAAAAAGATTTTTTCCTGTGGTTTAGTTATCATAGTGGAGGCGCGGTGGCCTCATGGTTGGTGCGCTCGACTCTGGATCGAGTGGTCCGGGTTCGAGCCCCAGCCGGGACATTGTGTTGTGTTCTTAGGCAAGACACTTTACTCTCACAGTGCCTCTCTTCACCCAGGTGTATAAATGGGGGCCGGCGACTTAATGCTGGGGGTAACCCTGCGATGGACTGGCATCCCATCCAGGGGGGAGTAGAAATACTCCAAGTCGCTTCATGCTACAGAAACCGGAGTTAAGCACCGGCCTAATGGGCCACTAGGCTCGTAAACAGACTTTACCTTTACCTTAGTTATCACAATGTTACACGAACTTTAGGAAATTGCTCAAATGTTGTTATTTTAGATTTTTCAACAAATTTTGACATAAAAGGAATTTCGTTTGTAGTTACATTTGAAAGAATTGTACCTGGAACATTGTATAAATATTGATGATGTAGTAGCCGCTAGTGTTCTGAGTTGCGATGCTCATTTACAAACTCTGGAAACTCTTAGTTGTAGTCGATATTGTCCGAAAATATGCCGACTAAGTGTATTGTAGAAGGATGAAGCAACGAATAATAAGCAATACGCCTATTTCCTTAAGCGAAAAAAAGTTTGGGGTTTAGGTGCACTTTAAGAATGTGTGAACAGTTCGACTCTGAAGAGTTGATTGCTATTGCATTCAGCCATCCTAGTCTTCGAGTATGCAAGATAGATGATGGTTGTTGCAATCTCGATGTCCTTTCATCTGTTAGAATTTTAAACTTCCCACGGTTGTCATTCTCAGAGTTTGTCATGACACCAGATTTAGACTGTCATACCATAGAAGAATGGAATTACTTAGAAAACATGTTTGGTGAACTAAGACTGTGCTGAACGAACTGACTGTCACTCTCGTTGCCAAGAGATCTAAAAAATGCGAGGCATTACAAAACACACAGGAATCCATACCGTTCACTTGGTATTTCTTTATTGTTGATGATTTAATCCTTTGTCTACAAAGTTGTTGTTGTTAGATAGAGAAATAGTTACAGTGGCGTCAAGCTGTAACTTTTTGACATTTAGGAGCCATCGACTTCAAAATTGTTGTACTTTCTTTTGTAGTGGAAGCTATAGATGACTTTGCTGGACTGCTGACTGCAGAAAAAAGAAATATATTAGACCAAGAAAAGTTTCAGCTATTGACTAAGGACCATACGCCATCCAAAAAATTTGGTTTCCCAAAGACTAAAATGTATGGCAAAAACAGGTCGTTTCAAATCACTTGGCTGAAAGAATATGCGTGGCTAGTGTACAGTCCTTCCAAAGACGGGGGGCCTTTGTTGAGTATGGCTCATGTTTTCACCAAGTTCCAGCGTTGCGAACACTGGGACACTTGTGAGTTTCGCCATGCAAAAATTTAATAAGGCAAATGAAATGTTAAAAGAGCATTCTAAAAAGAAATATCACAATTACGCTCTTCTTCAGGCCGAAAACCTTATAAAGATGATGCGCTTTTCAGAAAATGCGATTTCGTCCGTTATCAAATCTTCAAGAGGAGCACATATTGAATGCAACCGCAAGGTTCAAAGAAGCTTTGGGTCAAGCGTAATATTTTTCGGAAAACAAAATATTGCACTTCGTGGTCATATGGAATCCAGTACGGATAATAACAAATATCGAGGAAATTTTCTTGCACTTCTTGACTTCTGTGTAGAAGGAGGAGATGACATTATCGCGAAACACCTACGCGAGTGCGCAAGAAATGCTACTTATACGTCTGCTACTATTCAGAATGACATAATAGAGATAACAATGGAGTATTTGAGGAACCAAATTAATTGTGAAATTCCAGAGTATGTACCTTTCTTCACGATTCTCGCCGATGAAACAACTGACGTTTCGAATACTGAACAGCTTTGCATATCAATTCGATTTGTCGATGAAACTTGTAGTATACATGAAGAATTTCTTGCATTTGAAAGTTTGGCACGGACGACAGGTGAAGCTGTGGCCACATCAATCCTCGAGGCGCTCCAAACCTGGTCATTAGATGTGAAATTTTGCAGAGGACAGGGATATGATGGAGCATCTAGTATGTCCTCGGCTGCAAGAGGTACGCAAGCATTTATCAGACAAAGGAGCCCCAAAGCAGTCTATACGCACTGTAATACACACTGCCTGAATCTTGCTATTGTACATTCCTGTGATATTCCAATGATAAGAAACATTATAGGAACGCTCAATGAAATATGTTCTTTTCTCAAGTTCTCACCGAGATGTCATGAGTTGTTAGCGGCGGTTATCAACAACATATGCCTTAACACACGCCGGACCACCCTAATTAGGGTGGTCTGGCTCTCCACGCTGGGTGAAGAGGCATGAGGCGTTCGAGGTATTTAACAGCCTTTTCAGAGCAATTGTCAAGACATTAGAAGTAATGGCAAATAAGCGTGTTTACCTTGACGAGTACGGATCCTGGAAATGGGACCAGGAAACGCGCATAAAGGCGAGCGGTTTTCTGGCAGCCGTAACTCAGTTCCAGTTCATAGTAACGATGATCACAGTGATGAGATGTTTGTCTGTTCTGAAATCACTAAGCATACAACTGCAGAAACGCGACAGTGACATTTATAAGGCTTACATCCAAGTTATCACTGTGAAATCAGATCTGAAAGCTATCAGAGCGCAGATCGAGGTTCGCTTAAATCGGTGGTACGAAGCAAGCGTTTAACTAGGCAAAGACGTCGATGTTGAACCCGTACTTCCAAGAATTGTCAACAGACAGCGGCATCGTGATAACGTTCCAGCTGCCACACCTGTTCAGTACTTTTAACGTTCAGTGTGCATTCCACTGATGGACCACTTTAAAGCCCAAATGGACACGCACTTCAGTGAAATTCAGATGAATGTCTGCAACCTGATGTGTTTGGTACCTGAAGTATTGGTCAGTTCAAGTAACGCCACAATTGATACAGCAATTCAGTTTTATCGAGATGATTTGGTATCACCGGATGTCGTTGACGTTGAGCTTGTCCGTTGGCGTCGCAAAAGGTCAAAAGTGGCTGACAAATCGAGTCTTCGAAATAGTGCCTCAGCCACATTTAGAGAATGCGACCTTATTTTCTTTCCCAACATAATTGTCCTACTTCGCATTCTTTGCACTTTACCTGTTACTTCCGCGGAGTGCGAAAGGTCATTTAGCACTTTAAAACGCCTGAAGACGTAAAAAAAAAAAAAAGTCTTTTTATAAGATTACACAATTACTGGTGAACCAGTAGTTTCCATTGTGGTCCTTGCAAACAAATGAAACAAATGGTCTAAATTGAACATATTATGAACAATGACTATAGAGAGACAGTCAGGTCTGGCGATGATGAACATCCACCATGGCAGAGCAATTGACATTGATGAGACCATCAACATTGTTTACACTCGTCATCCACGCCGCCTTGTGCTAAAAGATATTTTGACAGCTAAGCAGTGAGAATAGAATAGAGTTTTTTCGTGGAACTTAAGTGCTGGCTAGAAGCTATTTTGTAGGTTTCTCCTGCCCACTATACTCTCACTGCTCATCCCAAAACTGTAAGATAAGGTAAAACATGCACGGCGTGGAGGTCGACATGACAATCTGGTGAGTAGCCTCTGTGACTCCCCCTTTGAAAAATCCTGGCTACGCCTCTGAGTGGTGACTAATATTTTCGACAACCTGTGACGAAACGTCAGTCACCACCACCGACGACGGTCCTTCTCAGGACTTCACTCACCCGGACGATCACACTACACTTTCACAAGTTACCCCCGGGTTCAAACCATTCACTGTAACAATGAATGTTCAGATAGAAGGTTCAGCTAAAAATGGCTTAGAACGCGCTAAACCTTTCTCTAAATATTCGGCCGATTGACAGAGACGAAAAATAGCAGTCAAAATGCGTTTTTATATCACGACTCTTGGGAACGGGGACCGATTGATTTGCCTTCTTCTGGTTGATCATCGAAGGCGACGTATGCTCCTCAGAATTTTGATAACGATTAAAAGACTGCGAATAGTTAGTTAAATCGATAAAACAAAAAAACTGTTATCTAGTTTAGGTTAATAATGCAATCAATGATTTCTCCTGAAAGGCAGTTACGAATACATCAAACCATCTAGTTTGATCAATATGTGGCACTTTAAATAGATATACATGACGGATGCCTAACTCGGGCTATCGGTTAGTCATCTTACTTTCGTAAAGTCAGTTGGAAATTGTTTTTGATATTATCGCGAAACAAGTAATGGTAATCATGCACTCAGATTGATTTTGCAGCAAAACGGCACTTGCACTATCCTCGGCTCGCCATAAATCGAATACGACAACATCATTAATATTTGATTACTTGCTATTACTAATTATTGATGCAGAAAAGTCAAGAAATATCTTCCTTGGCGATGGATTGCGACCTTAAAATACAACTGAATAAACTTTTGCTTTTGTAGCCAGTCAAACTTCCATTATCGAATTATAACACTGTGAACGTTAAATATTTCGTGAAAGCAAAGAAGGAATTTGCATTCGCACGGCGAACAACTTGATACGAAAGTCAAGTAAGACTGTTTTTTACTTCGAGAAAGTACTAATCTTTGAAGCTGATTTCATGTTTCTCCTCCTTTCCACTTGTAGGGCAGTATAACTGTTAAAGACAAATCGGAACACTTTCCTCCACATTTAAACATTCTAGAATAAACTGGGAGGGAAAGTTATTCTCTTACTCACACAGGAACACTTTTTTTATGTTTGGATATTACAAATTTCCTCGGGATGGACTATTGTCGCCTTCGCCCCGCTAGTAATTCAATCTTTATTCTTTTTCCATCCATGAATTGCAACGGCAGAACGGGTTTGATTCCACTTGCCATGTAATCTTAGTGGTAATAAAGTGCAAAGTTAATTGAGATAGTTGTAACTCTGTTCATAATACTTGTTGGAGCTCAAAGCATCTTCATCATGCACCGGACATTATGCTTCGGACAATACTTTTAGGGATAATTTATCGTTCAGTTGTGAGGTGCATAAATTGCCACAATGATAGACTAAAAGGATGAAAAAATAATAATAATAAAAAAGCAACAGCAAGGATGGACGGATTAAAAGCAAAAACATGTAATTTTCTTTCGTATGCATAGCTATTTGGTAAGTTAATTGTCTTGTTTCGCATTTATTAACTGAACGACAAGTCAGTAACTTGTGACGGGTTTTCGAGACATCAAACAACAAATAAAAAAATTTAAAGACATTGAAACTTTGCAGAGTACCAAAAAACTAATTACCTTTCTTGAATATTACTCCAATTTTGGGCAAACTAAGCGACATCTACATAATGTCGTCTCCCAGAATAAGACAACTCTTTGTTTAATCGACTAATTGCGCTCTGGCTTCTATCAATATCTATTTTCCCACGTACCCCCTGTTGTTCCAATCAGATGGAAGCAGTTAAACTCGTCGCTAATTGATGAGCTTGGGAAAGCTGATGCCGTAAAAGTTAGCAGGGAAAGATCTGCTAAAACTCGCTGAAACGGGCAACGATCAATAGCGAGCAAGGCTAGCGTGGTTTGCCCTTGCGAAATCCAGGGGGAACCCCGCAGAGCCTGGGCGAAACATTTTTTTTCCGCTGGCCGCATTAGCTCGAGGTTAACCTCGCCTAAATTATATTTAGCCACATGAAGTGCTCTGCGCTATGCATCAGATGAATCCCATGATAAGGCGGTCCTTTACTTTAGCAAGCTCAACCATACGTTAAGAATACCACTTTGTTGTCATTTTTTTTATCGAAGAGCACACTGCCTGAAACTGATCTTTACAGTTAAAAAGGCGCGGTTTAAAAGTTAAGATTCATCGTCAGTGCGCGTTAACCACCCGTCATGTCTGCTGATTTCAAGGGCCATGTCATTCTGGTATTCCTCTTAACGATCTTAACTGTAGCCAAATTTGCAGCTGGTAAGTATTTTCACGATTTATTTTCAGCTTGGCATTTTTTTTAAACTAGTGAATGCCTCATTGCGCTACTTGAAATCAACAAATCTCTAGGTCTAGGTGGACATGCCAAAATTACAGTTTCGCCAGGTATTCCCGTTGTTTATCCCTGTTTACATAAGGAGAATAGTACGCTGATCACCTTTCATAACCATAAAGACTTTTTATCGAGATGCAGTCCGTCCAGATGTAGATTTTATACGTACAACATTTTTTTTAAAACATAAAGCTGTAAGTTAAAATAAAAAGGTATGTGGGAAGGGCATTGGGCTCATTCCGCGCATTTCCACTGCACACCTGCTAAACCTAATTGAACTCGTTAATTTTTATGAGGTGCACCATCCATCATCTCGTTACAATATGATATATAATATTCGGCATTCTCGTTCTCGTGTGAAGGCTAACACGGGGTAAAATAACTATTTTTTTTAAGCCTTTAGAGCAGACGTCTATTCGATGTGAAATTAACAGCTTGGATTTCCTTTTACTTTCATGTCAAATTTTGCACAAGTTGTAAATTCACCCTCGGGGTCTGCTGTTCACGCCATAAAAATGCAAATTTGTCGGATGTTTCAAGTGAGTGTGCAAACGAACAAAATCCTGTCTAGACTTGTTCTTCAACAAATCTCTTAACTATTTATTATGGACTACAACACTATTTTTACTTAAAAAGGCACTAGTCATTCAGTGTTGAGTGACAAAGAAAGTACTGGTGTGTATTAGACATGAAATAAATAAATTTTTTTTTATGAGCTGGACGTCTTTGTAAACCAAATGGAGGCTCGCAAAAACTTTTTTTTTGAGAACAATTATCGTGAGAGTTTTATGGTACATTGGTCGCGCGGCTTTTTTTTTATTAACAAATGAAATACTTCGCATGGCTGCGACCCGTTTTTCACACCGGCTCTTTGGAAGGACACATAATGGAAAATTACAATAAGAAAATTGTACGTTTTTTTTTCAACATGTTTGAAAATGCAATTATGCGAAATCTGTGGCTCGGAAATCAACAATTCCGCTTATGTTGATTGAAACCAAAGAAATTAGCGAACGGTTACAATAGTTACACAATATGAAACCTACACAAATAGCACAGAGCGACATAACGCTGCAACCAAATGACAAAGGAAAGCGCGAATAAAACGATAAGTATAATTACAGAGTTTTTTTTTCTTAAATAAATCATTTGAAACTTACCGGCATTAATGTTCGTACTTGCTTATCAGTTTCAACAAATATCGGATACTATTTAGAAGTTTGAAAGACATTTTCATTTTCGAAAGTCAGTGATATTGCGTGGCAATAGTTCTGATTACCACGCTGTAAGTAAACTGAACCTAGCCGCTGGGTATTTGGCCAGAACTTTACATGGGTATTTTTTTTTATTTTTCTGGGAATATGTGTACATTTAACCTTTTACGTATAGCAGTCGAAAGTGCACTTGTCCTTTATGGTTGCTATTAAAGAAGAGATGAAAGGAAATATCCCTCTTTCGACCAATTTGATCAGAAATACTTGATAGTTCTGTCTCGGAATTTTTTTTAATTTATGTCATCAGAAGTCGTTCAAGACGCAGCTTATTCAAAATGAAAATATTTTCGGACACTTGTGAAATTTTATACAAAACTAATTTTGAAAATATTTTTTTTCTGCATGCTACCAAACTAACCAGACTACAACATACTTTTTTTTCATTTTTTTTGACTGCGAACCTACTTAA